ACCCTGGTCTCAAGATGACCTCTCAGTTTCCAGCATTACAGAGAGGCCAAAGCCATGAAAGGCAGTATTTTCCCTTCTACATTTTTCTATAAGGAGTAAAGGAACTTCTTAGAATATCTCTTCCTTGTACATGTTTCCCTTACGGTCTCTTTAGCCAGAAACGCATTTATAAACAATCACTATTAAGATGAATTGCATTCTAATACATATTTTAGACTTTTTATTAACTTTTTATTTTGAAATAATTAAAGATTTACAGGAAGCTGCAAGAATACCCTCCTTTTGGTAATGTCATATAAGTGGGGTCATATAATATGCGACCTTCTGCTGTTTTTTCCCACTCAGCATAATGCCACTGAGATCATTCCAAGTAGTTGTGTACATCGTTTGTTCCTTTCTACTGCTGAGTCACGTTCTCTGATACTGCGGTTTGCTTAACCATTCACCTACTGAAGGACATTTGAGTTGCTTTCAGTGTTTGACTATTACAGATAACTTTGTGTAGCGGTTTTTGTGTGGTTGGGTAATACCAAGTGACAAATGCTTGTTTGGGGTAAGCACGTGGGGAATGCCTGGTGTTGAGAGAGCACCTAGGAAGAAAATTCAGCTTCACCAAGGAGAGTTAGAAAGGTGACATCCTAAAGGGAAGAGGATGATTGTTCATAATGACAGGAAGCCCAAAGGATAAGTAATTCACCTTGCACTGAATATTCTGAGTAAGTTAGAACAGGTGATTAGCAGCCTGTAACGGGTGATTTTCTAGCATATTTGGGAAAACAGCCCGACTTTGTTTTGCCTTTTCAGCTTGCATTACAAGGATCTACATCATTTGTTTCTTTTCCTCCTTAGCAGATAAGGACATCACAAACATAATCAAAGTGGTCCCTGGGGAGGCAGACTTCACACATGCTCTATACCAGCAGGGTTCTTCAAGTAGCTTATAATCCACTTCTATTATATAATTATTTTCTAGATGTTAGCTGGACCTTTTAATAGAGCTCTGATTTTAAGCTTCATTTCATCATCTCCTTATTGCTTTCCTTAATGCTTACATCAAGGAACCTCGATTTACTCCTGCCCTGTGCATATGGGAATGTTAGGAAGCACAGGTCAGATGCTAAGCATTATTTAAAAGTGTTATTTTGTGTGTGAATGCACAGGCATTAGGAATGAGATAGCAGTAGAGATATTACTCAGTGAAGAGGAATAATTTTTTACATGAATGAAAGCAATGAATTATTAAAATATGTGCAACCAAAATGATCAAATTCAGTGGCAATGTTAAATGTTAAAACATTTGTGCTCAGACCATAACATAAAAGACAAAATGAAATATTACTCTGAAAATCTAAGACTATAATGAAAGTTTCTCAACTGAGTGGATTAAAAATACTCGTTGTTTTCCTTAGCTAATTTCCATGCTTAAAATTCCTCATCTTTTAATTTTCTTTATTTTTAAGTTTTTTTAATTGAAGTACAGTCAGTTACAATGTGTAAAATTCCTCATCTTAATATAAAAGATGTTTTAAGAAGTATGTCATATTTTTAAAATGTCGTTTGATTTTTCCATTCAGTTTAATATTAATGTTTTAGTTGAATGCTGGGCAGCAGTGTACCTCTTGTGGTGAATATGATTTTGCTATATATATGTAAATGTATATTTGCCAAAAATTTTTATAGATGTAGACATATATATAGCAGGCATCTTTGGTAAACTTCGTTTTCCTTTACCCTCTAGTATCTCATCAATCATCTAAATCAGATAGTTTGCCTCATAAATATTCCTCAAGTACATCCATTATTTCCATTTCCATTTACTACACCACCCTTCTACAATCCACACCTTATCTCTTAACCAGAACTAGTGGAAATTTCCAAGCTAATTGCTGATGATGTGAAGCAATGACCCTGCTGGCAGGTAGGCTGTGATGGGGGAACTTTAGAATTGAATGTAACCCACAACTTGTAAAACATTACTGTGAGTCACGAAAATAGATAAACTGTATGAAACCAGGACATGCAAGACACATTAAACACAAGCTCTATTTAATCCCCATATATTAATGATGAGACCTCAGCCAAGCTAACAGTAATTTGGCATGAGGTCTTGTGTTCTAAAGCTAAGAACGCTGACTGTTCCAGCAAATCACTTAGTTTACAAATTCTGGCAGAGCTCTAACAAAACTATCCTGGGACTAACTGTACCTTCAAAATTCTCTAAATTTGCTTGCTTAACTTTCCCATTAGAGAAGCTCATGGTTCTGCCAGGCTGCTTTCCATCTTGTGGATCTTGTAGAAACAAGCTAATAAAATGAGCTTTACTTTGCCTCCATTGTGTCCCTGGTAGTCTTTACCCTGGTAGTGCTCTTGTACAAGGAGAAATACAACGAAAATTTGACAAGATCCTCTAGGGACCAGAATTAGTGTACACGTCTGAGAGGACTTGAGTTTTTATTCCTTGAAGCCACTGTGACTGTGACTATGAGGACTGACTGACTATGAGGTTAACTGAGCTAAAAATATGAATTAAGGTTAAAAAAATAGTGAACAATTACTGAACACTTGATACATGCCAAACTCTGTCCTAGAAACTTCACATGTGTGATACCATTTAATCTTCACCCTATGAGGCAGGCACTACAACTAACTCTGTTTTACTAAGAAAAAAAAAAAAGAACTGAAGCACAGAGAAATTAAGTAACTTGCACAAGGTCATAAATTATTTTGTCTTATATTCTCAAGAAAAACAATTTGCATAATGCTGAGGAGCATGGGATGTACAGTCTCACAGAGTATGTCTCACTCCACCTCTTGGCACAGTAATTGTTGTTTATCACAGTGTTCCAAACATGGCAGAGAAACAAACTAAAAGGAGCACATAGCTCTTGTTAAACAAAAAAAGATAGTCATTTTTATAGCCTGAAAACGTTCTGAGACAGTGGAAGTTTGAGGAGTAATAGATGGACAGGCACATAGACACATGGGTAGATGGATTAATGATTTAAAGTCATCTTTTTTTCCCCTTTTAGTCTGTGTACAACACATCTAAGTATTTAAGCAAGTATTTTAAAGAATCTGTCCTGGGAAGCACAGAGTATTTGCAAATAGTAAATAATTACTAGCTTTTAATCTTAACCATTGAAGGCCACATGGAGATTTTACATGTTACATGATATAAAATCTGATTTATTTTCTTATTCCCTGTTTTTCCTCTATTTTTCTTTCTCTCCAATCTTTTAAATAATTTTTTCTTTTATGTGCACTTTTCCATCAATTGCTACTATATTTTTACTTTTTATTAAAGAGTATTGTGGAAAATTGAATTTCATGACTGTTCCTTACTCCTAAATAGATATAAATTAGAGTTTATTTTACGTGTATTTTAAAGTATTTTCAATGATTATTATTAGATTTAGTTGTATAACATATCGCATCCTTGCTCAAAATCAGAAAAATGGGGTGAAATGTTAATAATTAGCATATCCTTTGCAGACCGTGTTTGTGCCTGTGTTGTAGGCACAGTAATCCAGATACACATTTTCATTTATTTGGTACTGAATGAAAATTATCAATAATTAAGAAATAAGAGATTAACAAAAGAGTGTGAACTTTTCCAGTCTGAACTTGAAACATACATAAAAAGAGTATGACCTCTTCTCTTGAATTTGTGTACGTCTGACTTGAAGAATTCAGTCCTTCATAGATTCAAGGCTATTGCTTGGGGAGTGCGCCTGCCCACTGCAAAGAGCTAATTTATTTCCCCCCCCAAAAAATGGATTTTATTTTTCCTTGTGCATCATCTGCACATTTTAAAAGTTCCGATGGTACATTTTATAGTGGAAATGTGCAGAAGAATTTAATTTGAGCTCCTAAGCTGACTAGCAGTGCTAGTTGGGGGGGGGTTTATTATTACTTTAAAAAATGTATTACCATTTGAAAATAGAAAATATCCAAAACATCAACTTATTTCAGGGGAATGGAGTTGGAGAGAAAGTGGAAAAGAAAGTAGAAAATTGTAGTTCAAAGTAATTTTCTTTTTTCCTTTTTTGCATTTTTGAAACAGAGTGTCTGTAGGTGTTTTAGATAAATAGTGGGATTGAATTCAGGTATTAGGTCTCCATAGTTGATAAATAATTCAGACCATGTTATTGTTAACTTTCTCCTTTATTCTTTTACTAAAGGAACTATAGATACCATCTTGCTTTCTGAGGCTTGAGACGTTTAATTTTAATTTAATTTTTATATCCTAAAATTATTAGGATTCAAATTCAACAACAATAAAAATAAGCCAAGAATATAATTCTCTAAAATATAATGCAAAAGAAAGAAGAAACATATTGTATAATGGAATCAAATTACCCCTCATTGATGAGGACCAAACATTTGTCTCTACTTCAGGATGATAAATTAACATTACATACCTTTATTCTCAAAATAAAGCAAGAGAATGATTCCTGTTATGGGAACTTGAGACCCAGGAAAACTAAGGAGCTTTATTAGTTCTGTGTTTACAGGCAGCCGAATATGTTGTATGAATTAATGGCTGCTGAAGGACCCTGCTGCTTGTAATAGTAATTGCATGATTTTATCAAAGTTTGTAAAGTATACACTTTTAAAGTTATAACTTCAGATTGATGTACTTCCTGTAAAAAGAGCCTTGTTTGTGAGACAATAACTAAATGTTTACTGGTAGAAGGATTATGAACCCTCACCCATTGATTTAATAAATTATCCAGTTTTCAGGAAGAGACTGTTAAGGTATGGAGAGGTATAAAAAGAAAAACAAAAGTAGAAAAGTCTTACAGATACAGTGAGAAAAATCAGATCAGTGGTTGGCAGGGCGTTCTCAGCACCAAGGACCCAGATTTTGTATGAAACTTCACAAGTATGTGAGTATGCACACTGTTCTCACCAAAATCTCCAAAAGATCTATAAACTCCAAAGGACAAGGTGTCTTGATGCTTTTGTGGCACAAATGAAGAACCTGAGGTCCAGAAAGGCCAGGGCCTTGCCCAGGTACCACCGCCCTCTCACCCAGGGCACTGTCCGGTACACTAGAGCAGCTGTCCACTTCTTCCCACTCGGGAATGAACTCGACACCACTTCAGTTTGATCCTCTCAATCATAGTGAGTTGCCCAGTCTGCAACTTTTATTTTTATTTTTAAACTAGGGAATTACCACATTGGCCACATTGATTAACTTCTTCTTACCTGAACTCTGCACTGAGCTTGCCCTTTGAGACAATTGCATGTGTAGCAAATCTGTTTTTTGAGTTGCATGTGAGGAAACATTTTTATGAACCATTTGATTTCACTGGTTTCTTGTACTGTGTTTTTATAAGAAGAGCCTTTTATGAGTGTGTCAGCAGCCACCTTGGCCTAATAAATGCCTTTAGTAAGCAGAGTATGAGGTAAATTTTCAGCGTTCATAATCTCATTCAGTAAATAGCACTTTTGAAAGTAGGTATTTAAGGAGATTTTAACCTCAAGGTGTTGTTTCTTATTTCATCATTATAACATTCATGTACAGAATAATTTTGTATTGTTTTTTAAATGATGTGGGGTTATTTTATTCATTTCCAGAAAAAAATTGTATGTATATTAATTGCTAGCCACTCTGTAGCTATATTTACTTCTATATATTTTATCTATAAATGTCCATAGAGAGGGAAAGAAAAAGAGCAATTTATTAACAAATGTTATCCAGACAACCATAGTCAGGATGAGTCTTACCAAAATAACATTTGTCAATACAACTCAAAATGTTAGCTTGTTGAATGATTAACATTGAAAGCTTTGCACTCAGAGCCAATTTCAAATCCTTATCTACTGTTTCACATCTACTTGGTTGTAACCATGTCACATGTTTTCTCTTAGTCTAAGCTTCTTCATGTGTTAACTCATGAGGTTGTTGGGAGTATTAAATAAGTCTTTGTAAAGCAGTGCCTAAAATAGAAAAACTCACCAAGGTAGTGATTATTATTAATTGCACTTCTACTATTGTTCAATATTTTCCAGGAAGAAGTACTTCTAATTCCTGAAGACCTCCACTACCTTTGGTCCTTTGGTCCTTTGTTCCTTGGTGGAAGAAGTTCAAGGAGTACAAGGTAACTAACTAATCTTTAATGCCAAACATACTAGTAAGTTTTTGATATATTTCAGTCTCAGAAAAAGTATAGTTTCCTTTCTGATCTGAGATGGTAAGTATTTCATCTGTACACACTGACTCACACTGAGGAGCTTACTGGGCAAAGTGTGTTTTAGACAATTACTTTTGGTCTGAAAGTGCTTTGAAGTCTTCAACTTTCTCCCTACCTGGGATTTCAGACTTGCTCTTTTAAATATTGAAAAAGGGTACTGCAGTTATCCTTTACCAGCCAACTGAAAATGTGTAAAGTAGATGGTATTTGCTTTGGCGTATTTTCTGAATTTTTACTAATTTACATCCTTTCTTGTCCTGTATCTTAGCCCTGACTGACCCTGCTATCAGCTAGATAGCTAATGATTCACACTGTGCTGCCATATTTCAAGTCCCATTTTAATAATGTCTGGAGTACCAAAGTAAGCACCGTTAATGGTGACACAGGTTTGCCACATAGTTTCATTTTGAGTCCTTTATAAATTGGAAAGATTGTGATACATTTTATATATATATAATAATATATATATTCCTGATTAAATACTTAGAACAATATTATAGTAATATTTTATTACTCTATACTTCATATACTATATACATATTTATATTCTATAACTATCCCCATTTTTAGATAATGCAACTGAGTCCAGGAGACATTAAGTAACCCGAATAGAGGCACACAAATGTGTGTTGGTATTCATACCCCAGTTTGTCTCCGCCTCTCTGCAGATGGTTGTAATGAAATGACTAATGGCAGTCATAGAAGAATTGATGGCATGAGTAGTTCAGACATGTTAATGGCTCATACTATATAATTTGAAGTATGTTAGAAAGAATCTCTTCCCCCATTGCAGTCTATCTACAGCGTGAACTTACCTTTGATTAGTTGCATATGTATGAATTACATTTCTCAAATATTTTGACTCCCCATTTTTAGATAGGAATATCTTTTGTATGGTAGTTTAGCAGCTATATCTCAAAAGACCCATTTTGATCTGTCTTCTTGTATATGTGTGTGTGTGTATGTATGTATGTATCTATATCTGTGAATGCATACGCATGTGTGAGTGTGCACGCGCGTGCGCACATTTCAGGTCTGTTTTAACCTAGTATGTATGGCAGGCTGTGGGAATTGGGAGGGATATTTCCATAAAAGTTTTAGCATAAGAAGTATAAAAGAACAGAGTGTTGAGGGAAGGTTTGGAGCACAGGATGGGATCTGTCCTGGTGATTTGTAGACTGGTAGTTCAATAAGAACTTTGCTGACCATTAAGTGTGTTGTTTTCTTTTTTCTGGCTTTAATTTATATATATTTTAAGTTTTATGCATTTTGGGATATAATGCCCAGGGCTTGCAGTGTCGTGCTCCTCAGGAAACGATGCTGTCAGTGAATCCATCTAATTTGTAGGTTGGTTGGTTGATTTTATTCTCCAAGACAAATGATCAGGGCTCACAAGCCTGCCATTGAGGATTTTTGAGGTTCTCTTTGCAGTCAGTTGTGATCATTAGGAAGAGTTGTGCAATGTATATGCTTCCCCCACCTCAAATATGGATTAAAATCTTCACATTTTTATTGTGATAAGATTAGGGTGCCCTTCCCACTCCTTCTACATCCCTGGGAGACTTACTACCCTGATGCTGGGGTTCATGGATCCCAGATCCAGAACCTGAAAAGAGAGTTTGGATGTTGCTGATAATAGGTGTAAAGGTCAGAGACTGTGTGGGAGTAGAATTTGTGTATGTGGTTTTTCTCATACTGATGATGAGTTAAAATGGATATGGAATCCCTAGGGTGACCTAGGCAAGCTCTCCTTCGGGCCTTTGGGTACATTTCCTTCCTGCTGTTTGAATTTTTGAGTTGGATTCTAGTCCTGCCTTGCTGTCCCATCAAATTTGTGGAATCTGAAAGCTGAATGAAAGTTTAGGATAAAATGGTCAAAGAATGTCATTCATTCTATGTGGTTTCTATATCCTAGGGTTATGTCTAGCCTGGACAAATTGAGGTCTCTAGTGTTTAGAAATCTGGCAGTTATTCATTCATTTTTAAAAATCTATCCATTTAAAAATGTTAATTGATATTTCCTTAGGTCAAGACTTACAGCTGAAATGTTACGGAAATGACAGGCCAGCCAAGAAACAAGCACCACTCAGAGGGTTGGGGTACTCAGATTTATTACGCCGGCGGGCCCAGAGGGGCTTCTGCTCCGAAGCTCTGAGCACCTCCAAGACTTGTGCATGAGGTTTTATAGGGTTAACTACAAGCTTGGGGTATTTGGCCAATAGGCATGGAAAAGCTTTAGCAACATCATTATCACAAAAGTAGAGGCAGGGAAGCAGGAAACCAACATTTCAAGGCCAGATATGTCTCTTTGAAAAT